GCCAGACCCTGAAGGACCTATGTGCTTTGCTAAAGAGTTTGAGGTTTCTTGCCCTGGCCGGTTTGGCTCAGTGGTTAGAGCGTCGGCCTGCGGTCCAGAGAGACCCGGGTTCGGTTCCCGCTGAGGACACGTACTTCGGTTGCAGTTTGTCCCCGGCCCTGGTTGGTCGTGCGGGTGGCAGCCACTCGATGTGTCCCTTCACGTCGATGTGTCTCTCTCTCTCTCCCTTCCTCTCTCTCCCTCCCACTCTATCTGTACAAAAAATGGAAAAATATCCTCGTGTGAGGATAAAAAAAAAAAAGGAGTTTGAGGTTTCTTCTGAAGGTCATAAGGGGTCCTTGATGGCTTATAAACAGGTTGGCATTTGAAACTTGGGCAGCGGCATGGATAATGGATTTGAAAGAGGAAAGAGCCCACCCTGAAGGTAATTTGAGCAACTGAGGTAAGAAGAGCTAAAGACAGTGTCAGCACAGAGAAGAAGGATGAATCTGAGAGCCCGAAAAGAAGGTGGGACAGGCAGGACCCTGTTGGCCGGGGAGACTCTAGGAGTGACAGGTGTCGTGGGTGAATCAAGGTCTCCAGCATGAGCTACTGGGTAACTGAGATTCATGGATGCCCCAGATCTCCTCCTTCGAGAAGGGACAGAATCGGGATGAGGGGTTCACAATTTTCCCAAAGCTTGCCAGGAAGTCGGAGGAAGAAATTATTCATTCAGGCAGCCACTCAATTCATGTCCTAGATCCAACGAGGCAAAACATAACTGAGGGATTTCTCCTCACTGATAAAAAAGTGGTTTGGGCCACAAGAGTCCTTTCTGGGATTAGAACAAAGCAGTAGTTCTTATGTGTCCCCAAAGCCTCGAACGGCTGGGCATGTAGTCAATAAGTACATCACAGGTCAATTTCTTGATGGGTGTGTCCTCATTTTGCTACACGTTCACTGTAAGCGTTTTGGAGGCAGAATCAAGCACTTATTAACGGGCTGGCTCACTGGCTCAGGAGTCTGAGGGAAGCTGACTTAGGCCAGCACATACGCACACTCTTGGAAGGAATTATAAAGTGTCTCACATGACAAAAGAAGTGCCAGTCTTCAGAAGTCACCGCGCCCTAAAGGAGGCGAGAGCCGTGAGCCCTCGGAAGGATGGTCAACGTTTTCTAAAATTCGGTTTTGCGGAACCACGTCATGCGAAGCGATGTTTTCAATTACTCCTGCTTTTAAATTGAATTTTGCCTGAAAATATATACACCACACGACTCTGAGCGTGAACACCCTGTAAAAGCCCTGAGAATGTGGAATCGATTTTTAGACTGGGCATGAGCCCTCCTCACGTTTGCTGAATCACACCACAGCCTTTAAAACATCCCCCAGGCCCCGGCCGGTTTGGCTCAGCGGTAGAGCATCGGCCCAAGGACCAAAGAGTCTCAGGTTCGATTCCAGCCAAGGGCACGTACCTCGGTCGAGGTTCGTCCCTGGCACTGGTCAAGGTCGTGCGGGAGGCAACCAGTCGATGTGTCCCTCTCACGTGGATGTTTGTCTGTCTCTCTCCCTTTCTCTCACTCTCTCTCCCTCCTACTCTATCTGAACATAAATAGAAAAAATATGCTCAGGTGAGGATTAAAAAATAATAAAACATCCCGCAAGCTGGTCACCTGCTGGGGTGGGCATGGCTTTGTCGTTATTGATCATGCTCCAACCCACCAGCCTGAACCCGAACCTTCGTCTTTGTTGTGGTTTGTGTGTTTGTCTGTTTCCTGAATATGTTTGTGGTTTGAGTATTTATCTGTCCACTGACTATGTGATCTCTCTTCTCTGACATTGGGCCCAAGGTCATTTTTTACTAAGTGCTCCCAAAATGTAATATGGTCCTATCATTGTGTCCTAATCAACCAGATATTGTTTACTATTATTCAAGTAATAAACAAACTTAACTGCAACCAGAAAGCAGGTGTGCTTTGTTTTTTGTTTTATTATAACTTTCTTCTTTGCCTGTCATCTAGAAATTGATGGTTGCCTTCCTTTTCTTATTCTTCTCCACTGTAATGGAGAAGGGGCGCAGAGACAGAAATCCCCCTGGATTTGGGTTAGCAGAATTCAAGTCCCCATTAGAGGGATGGACTCAGCTTGGAGAGAGGACTACAAGCTGGGTCAAGGCCAGAGACAGGAGCAGGGCAGCCTGAGGGTGGGGGTGGGGGATCTTGGGAGCTCAGAGGTGAGCCTGCGGCACTTACCTGTTAGTGGGTCAGCCAAAGAGTGAGGATGAACCAGGAAAATGAGCAGCCAGATGAGCCCCTGGGAGGGTCAGATCCGGGAGAGTCAGATTCCAGAGAGTAGTTAACCACAGTTAGAATGATCGCAATTTAAGGGCAACATCTATCGCGGGTCAGCCTTTGACACGGTTCCCACGTCGTTTGGCCCATGGAGGTGGGGAACCTTGCAACCAAGAGTAACGAGGCTTTTATTTTTGCACAGCAGGTGAGGAAACACCGGCTGTGGCCTCTTGCAGAAGCCCATCGGCGATGTTTCTCACTTTCCTATAAGCCTCTTTTCATTAAACCCAACACAACCAACCAGCAGATGCTTGCCCCGGAAATCATAACCTGATTTTATTTCCAGTTTGGGAATTCCACATCAGTTATTTCGTTCCCTAATTCATCACCAAAGCTTCGCCTGGGAGATTTATTTATTCAGCCAACAGCTGAGTGGCTTTGGGGTGGGGCGGGGGAGGTTAGAAAGAAGAACGCTATCAATCAATCTAGGTTCAGTCTCTGCGGCACACAATGGTCTAACTATTTCCCACCAGGGCCTCCTGCAAGCTAGTCTTCCCTTTCCCTCTTCCCGGGGCTCTGCAAACACAGCCACTCACCATATGTCCTGGTAGCTTTGCTCGGATTCAGTCATTCCTCTTTCCAATGTTTCCTTTTTGGGTGCTTCTTTCACAACGTTGGACACCAAGCACAACTGGCTTCGGATGGCATGGGTTTTACTCCTAGAAACCTTTTCTCCCGTGTGGTCCAGGGGAGGCCCTGTTGCAGAGCCCCGCTTACATCACCTCATTTGACAAATACGATCCATGCCCCAAAACTCGACACCGCGCAACACAAACTTTTTATGGAGCGGCGTGATGTTTTAAACACAAGACAGCATTCGAAGAGCGTGTGGTCATCTGAGCACCTCCCCAAGTCCCAAGGGGTTCGTTCAGAATATATAGTAGGGGGGCAGGCTGCTTTACCCAGGGGCATCCAGGTCACAGCTCTGTCTCTGATGCCTTTCCTCTCCCCTGTGCGTTCTCCCGGGGCCAGGCGACTGCCCTTGGAGAGTCACCCCGGGAGCCCGGGAAAACCCTTCTTTGATCTGAGAAGGACTAGACGGAGAGCTTCCTCTGGGGCAGTGGTCCTGTGGCAGGAGGGTCATTATCTCAGAGATAACGACTGAGAAAAATGCCTTGTAAGCCATGCAGTCCTAGACGTTGGCGACTGCTTTATTACCGTGCGCCTTCGTGAGTCCTGTTCCCGCTCCAGACTCCCACTGTAGGCGACGGTGGCTCATGAAGGCATGGCATGAGAAACCACAAGAAAAACAGGGGCAAAGGTGTTATCCGCCCAAGGTGTAGACTCCAGGAGGAGTCGCTGTGTTTGCAAGAGCCCAGGAGAACCCGGACTGACTCCTAAAGTTTATCTCTTGCTGGAGAGATTCTCCTTTAGCAGTGATGACGTGCCCATATTCCTGTTTTTATTTTTATTTTTTTATTTTTTATTTTTTATTGAGTTTTAGAAAGGAAGGAAGAGGGAGAGAGAGATAGAAACATCAAAGAGCGAGAACATCGATTGGCCGCCTCCTGTGTGCCCCCCACTGGGGATCAGGCCCACAACCTGGGCATGTGCCCTGACTGGGAATCGAACCGGCGACCTTCTGGTGCAGGGTCGATGCTCAGCCACTGAGCCACACCGGCCGGGCTGAATTCCTGTTTTTGAAAAATGCTTCTTGCTGAGATCTCCAGTAGTTCCACTATGGAAAGGTCACCTCTCCACCCGAAAAGCTGAACATCCGGGGCTTTGCTCAGACTCCCTCCCCTTAAAGTTTCCCAACTATCTCACAAATTGGAATCAGCCAAAAAAAGGGGCAGGGGGACAGGATTCCAGTGAAAATCTGAGTGAGCCATCGCATTTGGCTCTGAAAGACGTAGACGGTAGAGTCGGGGGCCAGAGGTGGTCCCTCCACCCTGCCCGTCACCCTACAGTGAGCTACAGGCACAAACATGGGGAGCTCAGATGAGGGTAAGAAAAGCACTTTCGAATTTTTATTTTGAGTATTTTTCAACAAATAAGTCTACTTAAGCTCCAGGAGGACAGACTGCCAACTACTTTCTCAACCAGGACTTTAAAAAGAAAGAAATAAAAAAGCATAATTCATAACGATCAAAGATAAAGTAAAATATTAGTCTGGAAGAAATACAATTTCAGGGTTAGAAGTTGGTTTTATGAGGGAGATAATCCTCCCCTATTTTTTTTTCCAGGCCCATAAATGCAATTTTTATTTTAGTTTTACCCCAGCCCTTGAGTTGCCATAAAGATCGAACATGAGGAAGATTATTTATTTCTTTTTTTTTCTCCCCAGGGGGGCACTTGGCAATAACATTTTGCAGACCTACTTTGTGCTGTTTTGAAGCAGAACTTGGAAATGCACTGTGTCAGTCCACAGCTGTGAAAGGACCTAATCTACTTTTAAGTCTAATGAAGTCCCAGCCGTTTCTATCTGGGGACAATCTCTGAGTGTGCTCAGTTTCTGTCATTGTGTTTCTTATGCTCATTATCAACAATTAACACAAAGAACGGATAAGATCTTGGCTCCTTCAGCCTCAGGAAAAGACCAATGTTATTTTTTTTGAAATGCCAATTAGAATATAAAACCTGATACCAAACCACTCACATTAAAGTCACAGGCAGTTCTGAAATATGTCCAATATAAATAATAACACTGGTTGGTTAGCGTTCTGCTCAGATCTCTCCTTTGCGCTTCAGAAGGTCCGATTCGGTGTCATTCTAGAACAGAAGGAGGGATGCCGGTCCGGGGTTCCGCTTCACCTGGGCATCCCCTGCAGCAGGAGACCCAGTGAAGGAGAAACGTTTTAAAAATAACAAATCTGGGACCACATTTTTGTATTCTGCTTGGTAACAGCTTGTTGAGTTTCAGGGTAGACATGTATAGTCCTACAACTTACACGAGCTCCCCCAGCAACTAGGGAAATGTGAGTGAGGAACCACGGCACAATTTCCAAGTATGAGCATCATGGAAAAGAAGACACCGAGAGACAGGGAGCTGATCTTTGTCCTAAATTAGGTGGCCAGCTGTCCCAAGAAGCTCGTCTGGTTCTTCTGAACCCACGGAACAGAAAGGTGCTTATAATGCCCCAAATATTTCCACAAATATCCACCAAAGAACTTGTGCCAGTATAGGAAACACAAGAGCAAACCAAAAAAAAAAAAAAAATCACCTTTTGCTAAGAATATATTTTTCAGAGAATCCCAGGACAACAGAGATTTAATCAAACAACAAGGGAAATGTACCGACTGATGATTTCCAAGAATGCTCTTAGTAATGGAGGTGGGTGTGGTTTTTACTTAATGTAAGATCAGTGCCTCATAGTCAGCCAGACAGAAGTCTGAGACAAAGACCTACCTGTGTGACCTTGGACAAGTTACCTAACCTCTGTGAGCCACCGTCCTTCTCTGTAAAATAAAAATAGCTATATCTATCCCATAGTTTTATTGTTGGGATTAAATGAGATCGACAGCAATTACAGCAGTGTCTGGCACATAGCAGTCACTCCATAAATGCCAAGTATCCATAACAGCCACATCCCCAGACCTTTCTCTGGCCATGTTCTGGTTTCCTGCCACCATCATTGGCTCCAGGTATCACTTAGGGGCAAAAGTGCATTTCTGAAGACAAGGCCATCTCAGGGACAGACAGACAGACCCTGATCGAGGGTCAGAGACAGGGCTCCATTCCTCTGGAATCTAAAAGGAGCTCGAGAAAGTGAGCACAGTGTTTTCACTTCCTACGTCCGTTCCTGCCTTCTGATGCGTCTGTGAAGAGATTCCAGTGACGTTTCCAAGCGAGGAAGGCAGCGCTGTAAACCCAGGCACTGCAGAGAAAATTGCTAGGGACCTGCAATCCCCAAGCCGCCCGGCACCTGCCACCCTGAGCAGCTAGCTTCCCGCCTCTGCTGAAGACGGCCCTGTGCGGTCAGCCCGTGTGCGCCTGCTTCCTTGGAGGGGCCTTTCTAAGAACAGAGATAGGCTGAGTCTTTCGTTTGCTAGAGAATCAAGCTGCCAACAGATTCCGAGACTAAGGCTTCCAACTTCCAACGGTTAACCAGACCACCGAGGAAGGTAGAAAGAATACCAGAAGCACATTCCAAGCGTGGGCTTTGGAGGCAAAAAGATCTGGCTTAAAATCCGAGACCATGCTGCCACTTACTGGCGTGTGGTCTAGGGCAAATTAGTTAACCTACCCACCCTGTCTCTCTATCTGTGTTGGGTGTTCATCCCCCTTTGCCCAGGGTAGTCCCAGGGTATACCAGTTGTTCTTGGGTGACTAATAAAAGCTACCCTATTACACCTGGCTGGTATGGCTCAGTGGTTGAGTGTCGACCTATTCAGCAAGAGGTTGCCGGTTCGATTCCGGGTCAGGGCACATGCCCAGGTTTCGGGCCAAATCCCCAGTGAGGGGCATGCAGGGGGCGGCCAATCAGGGTTCTCTCTCATCCATGTTTCTCTCTCTCTCTTCCTTCCTCTCTCTAAAATATATAAAGAAAAATATATTTTTTTAAAAAGCTACTCTATCACACCAAAGGGATCTAGTTTGGACAATGAACTAAATGGCCACCTCAGCTCCTTTCTGTAAAATTCCTTTCTGTAAAATTCAAACAATTGTCAGCGCACAGGGTGGTTGTGAAGGCTAGCTGCAAGGTACACTATAGCTACCACAAGTCTCCACGTAGAAAATGTTCCCTCCCTATCTGTATCCTGCACATCCTCACTCTCCAGCGCAGAAGCCATTTGCCTGGCGTGGCTATTAAGCACTTGAAATGTGTCTAGTTCAAGTTAAGACGAGCCGTACGTGTAAAATGCACCCGATTATAAACAGTTAGCACAAAAAACTATATACAATGTCTCATTATTAGCTTTATATTAATTACATGTCAAATGATATTATTTTGAATGTATTCGCTTCAATTAATTACTAGCTAATTATTCAAATTAATTACACCAGTTCCTTTATGCTGTTTTAGCATGGCTACTAAAACAAGTACGATTACATAGGTCACTCGCCCTATATTTCTCTTGGGCAGCACAGCCCCAGGTGGTTCATGAATCTGCTACCCCATCCCACACCTCACCCCACCGACACCTCCCACCCCACCCCTCTAATTCTTCCTTCCAAACTCCAGGTGATGACCTGGTGTACCTTCATCATATGCACCAACATGCGCTGAAGTGTATTCTGGGTGTTTTGATGCAAAAGGCAGTAAACTAAGGGGCGAAACAGAATTGACTTGGATCATCCCTCTCGGCACTGGTTCCTCCTTAGGGATAGACATGCTGATCTTGAGATCATTAGGGAAGCTGAAGATGCCGGCCAACTTTGGAAAACTCCACGTTGGCAAGGAAGAAGGAGCTTGGTTGGCCCAAAAAAGATATCACGATGTCTCCCTGGATCAGATTTGCTGATTCTTGGGAATGCTTGGGAAACACCTCAGGTCCCAGCTATGAGTAACGTTATGCAAAGCAGTCCATGAGCATGCCTTAGGTGCTGCCTCTTTGAAAAGAAACACTTCTGCCCTGGCCAGGGAGCTCAGGTGGTTCGAGTGGCGTCCCAGTACACCACGATTGTGGGTTCGACCCCCAGTCAGGACACATACAAGAATCAACTAGTGAACACATAAATAAGTGAAACAACAAATCAATGTTTCTCTCTCTCTCAAATCAATCAATAAATTAAAATATGTAAAGAAAAATTTTATACCCTGGCCGGTTTGGCTCAGTGGTTACAGCGTTGGCCCATGGACCAGAGAGTCCATGTTCAGTTCCCGCTAAGGGCACGTACCTTGGTTGCAGTTTGTCCCTGGCCCTGGTTGGGGTCATGTGGGTGGTCTCTCACAACCATGTTTCTCTTCCTCCCTCTTCCTTCCTCTCTCCCTCCTGCTCTATCTGAAGATAAATGCAAAAACGTCCTCAGGTGAGGATTTAAAAAAAGAAGAATTTCACTTCATGCTAAATCTCCAACTTTTAGCCCTAAAAATATCTCCTAAGAGCATTAAACCAGCCCCTAGCCTGACTCTGGTAGAGACCCCCTGACCTGTGGATGGAAATATCACAGAACAGCCAAGTATAGAGCAAATTCACCCCAGAAACAATCATTTAACTCAGTCAACCCCCATTCCCCATGGACACAACTGCTCGCTAAACACAAATGTTCAATTTTAAAATATTAGCAAATTGGATTTTGGAAACATCCTTCTCAAGTAATCTGCTTCACAAAAGCTTTTCAGATACGCAATACAGTTTGTGAAAGCTTTTGTCTGGAGGAAACTCGCCGGCTGATATTCCAGCTGGTGGGACTGGACATGACGTCAGCTCTGGGGCACAGGTAGAGAGAAATGGTTCAAGCTGACTTCTCAGCGCAACCAGAGAGAGTCGCGGTCCGTGTACTGGATGTTGCACATGGCAACGCGTTGCGTTAGCTCTTCGCACACACAGACACGAGGACCTGCTCCCGGCGGAGCGCCCTCTTCCCTGCCCGTCCCGTGGTTTGGACGGAGGGTAACGACAGACAGTGTGAGAAGTATGTGTCAGAGGGAGCTCGCATGTCATGTGTTCCATGAGATGCTTTGTGTCTGAGCTCCCTCAGCTCTCATCGGCTCCCTCCTCCACCCACTCGCCCCACAATCAAATAACCCCCCTCCCTTTGATAAGGAGCCAGTACAGGCACAGGAGGTAGTTCGGAACAACCGCATTTGAAGTGGAAGAAAACAGGGGGCCTCTCACTTTCCCTCTCTCACCACAACAATTGGAGGAGACTTGGGCCTGAAGAAATCTCTCTGCTGCTAAATGGTACCCAGATGGCAACCACAGCCTCTCTCTGGTACCAGGAGTACCCGTGCCCATCCATCTTCCCAACACGCCCGCAGCTGGGAGGAAGACGAGGCTGCTGGTGCAGTTCAAACGCCTCTTTCCTCCTGCACACTCTCCCTTTTATCTGTTCCCCTTCCATCTCAGAGCCCTGTGTTCTCACCTTCCTGCGGTGGCAGTAACGCCCAAAGCAAACTGTGGCCCTGGAGGACCACAGGGAGTCATGGCCCCAGGCTCTGAATAGCTAATGAGCCCTGTGTGTGCCTGTGAATGGCGGGAGACAGCCACTCGAATCTCCCGGGTAGGAGGAGTACAACCTGGGGATGCCGACCCCAGTGCACCCGGAGAGGATCTGGGTTTTGATACCCAGCTTCTAATTCAATCCAAACATCCAATCTGCACGGCCTTGGGGCGGGGGGATGCATTGTTCAAACACATCTGATTCTAGCCCAGAGCCTTTTCCAGCCACTGACCACTTTGAACCTAATTAGAAAAAGCAGAGGACACTGGAGAGGTTTAATAAGAGGAATCGGGTTGCTGCTGCGTCTTCATGACCTGGGATTTATAAGGGAATTTCACTGGCTTTGTAGCAATGTAAAATAAATAGACATTAGATGATGACAGCGAAAACAAAGTTGCTGCCAAAGCTAAAAAGAGCTTGGCAGGAGAAGAAAGGACTACTACATAGTCACTCATTATTTACTGTACAAACCTTTTCATAAAGCGTGGAGGAGAGACACGGGAATAATGGGCCCTTGCGAGAAGATGGAAAACGCCTTCTATAGCTACATTGTCCCCGCTGGAGGCACCCGAGGTCCTGGTTGTTACACAACCTTATTGTTCTAGTCAGCCATTCAGAGAGCTGAATGAACAGCTCGCTCCGGGACTTTGAAAAAGGGGAGCTA